CCATCCCTGAGGATCCCATCCCTGAGGATCCATCCCTGAGGATCCATCCCTGAGGATCCCATCCCTGAGGATCCATCCCTGAGGATCCCATCCCTGAGGATCCCATCCCTCAGGATCCCACCTTTGAGGATCCCACGCCGGAGGATCAACCCCTGAGGATCCCATCCCTGAGGATCCCACCCCTGAGGATCCATCCCTGAGGATCCATCCCTGAGGATCCATCCCTGAGGATCCCATCCCTGATGATCCCACCCCTAACGATTCGTCTCTGAGGATCCCGTCCCTGATGATCCCATTGCTGAGGATCCATCCCTCAGGATCCCATCCCTGATGATCTCACCCCTGATAATCCATCCCTGAGGATCCATCTCTGAGGATCCATCCCTCAGGATCCCACCCCTGATGATCCCATCCCTGAGGATCCATCCCTGAGGATCCATCCTTCTGAATTCCATCCCTCATGATCCATCCCTCATGATCCATCCCTGATAATCCATCTCTGATGATCCATCCCTCAGAATCCATCCCTCAGGATCCCATCCCTGATGATCCATCCCTCAGGATCCCATCCCTGATGATCCATCCCTCAGGATCCCATCCCTGATGATCCATCCCTCAGGATCCCATCCCTCATGATCCATCCCAATGATCCCACCCTTGCTGATTCCATCCCCGCCTGTCCATGTACTGATCCCTGTGTGATCCCTGTGTGATCCCTGCTCTCCCGGTTTTCCAGCTGGCCTACCCTCACCGGGTGATCATCCTGAAGGCCATGGAGACCGTGGTGAGGAACAACCTCGACCTGCTGGACAAGAGCACGGCCAAGGTGGTCATTTTCCTGGCCTCCAACGAGATGACCAAGTCCAAGGTACGGCCGGAGCGAGGCCGTGGAGACGATCCAAGGGCTCTGGAGCCGGGCTGGGAGAGCTGGGAATGTTCACCTGGAGAAGGGGAAGGATCCAGGGAGACCTTGGAGCCACTTCCAGGGCCTGAAGGGGCTCCAGGAGAGCTGGAGAGGGATTTGGGATGAGGGATGGAGGGACAGCACACAGGGAATGGCTTCCCAGGGTCAGGTGGGATATTGGGAAGGAATTCCTGGCTGGGAGGGTGGGGAGGGGCTGGGATGGAATTCCCAGAGGAGCTGTGGCTGCTCCATTCCCTGGGAGTGTCCAAGGGCAGGTTGGATTCCCCTGGGATGGTGGGAGGTGTCCCTGCCCGTGGCAGGGGGTGGGAATGGATTTCATTCCTGCAATCCCACCCCAATTCCTGCAATCCCGCCCCAATTCCTGCAATCCCACCCCAAATTCCTGCAATCCCACCCCAACTCCTGCAATCCCACCCCAATTCCCACAATCCCACCCCAATTCCTACAATTCCACCCCAACTCCTGCAATCCCAAACTCCTGCAATCCCACCCCAATTCCCACAATCCCACCCCAATTCCTACAATTCCACCCCAACTCCTGCAATCCCAAACTCTGCAATCCCACCCCAACTCCTGCAATCCCACCCC